AGGAGCGCTATTTTTGCGCTCCTTTCAGGGACGCCGCCAGAGCGCCGCGGTGTGGAGGCTGCGGTCCCACAGCACTCCATCCCAGGGCGTCCCCAATGCCCTGGTGTGCTTCCCCCCTGTGTGACCCTTGGTTGAGAGGATTAAAATGGAAATATGTGTATTATTCTGTTGAGGCAAGGCCTGACACTAATCCTCCTTGCATATCCTCCCACCCTGAGGCCTTGCCTCAATAGAACCATACACACATTTCCATGTTAATCCTCTCAACTAAGGGTCACACAGTATACATACCACACACACCTCCATGCCACCATTCTCTGAAGATGCCAGCCAGAGATGCAGGCGAAACATTGGGAATAAATTCTTCTAGAACCCGGCCTCAAAGCCCGAAAAACCCACAAAAAGCTATGAAAGCCGGCCATGAAAGCCTTCGACTTCACAGAAAAAATAACCTTTCTAATCTCACTTTGTTCTCAAGGGTTGACTATTGATGGGGAATTTCATGGCCTCCAGTTGCCCATGGGTCCTCTTTGCAGTTTTTTATCTTGAGCCAGTCTTCGGGTCCATCTGTGCTGTAGAAATAATTAACCCCACATTAAATGCCATGGCTCCATCCTACAGAATCCTTTTGTAGTTTTTTGAGCTAACAGGACTCTCTAGCAGAGAAGGTTAAAGACCTTGTAAAACGACAGATGCCAGGACTCCACAGGATGGAGCGACAGCACTTTGAGTGGTGTCAGACTGCATTATTTTGACAGTGTAGATCAGTGGTTCCCAAACATTGGTCTTTTGGATGTGTTGGACCTCACACCCCAGAATTCCTGATTGTTGACCTGAGGCTTCTGGGAACTGAAGTTCAAAACATTTGGAGGACCAGAGTTTGGGAACCATTGGTGTAGATGCACCCTTGGACTGGATGCAGCCCTTGGAGTCAAGGCTTGTCCTTTTTCCATTGCCATCCTACGATTTGACATATAGCATACTAAATTCTCTTTTACTTCTAGCTGTGCACTGAGGTTGAAAGAGGAATCAATGAACTGGCGTATGTCCTGAGAACTATGAGAGGTGAGCATGACTGTCAGGAACTGCTGAATGTTTTTGTCCCTTTCTGGGGACTGTCCCTTGGTCTTTGAATTGACTTTTCTCTCTGTCCTTTCCCAGTCTCTGCCCAGATTGACTCCTTTGCTGGGATTGACTGCTCCTTGGTGAACAAGCCGGACATTGGTGCGGATCAATGCGATGTAGACCTCAGGGTAAACAGACACTCTAGCCTCTTGTCCTCTAACCTTTGCAGGCTGCCTCCACACTGCAGAAATAATCTGGTTTGACACCACTTTAACTGCCCTGACTCAATGCTATGGAATTCTGGGAATTGTAGCTGGCTATGGCACCAGAGCTCTCTCTGGTGATGAAGCAAGAAACCGCCATGATTAATGCGTTGAATTTGCACAATCAGAATTCAATTTAATAATGTGCATAATTATAATAATTTGCATACTATGCCAATTATTTGCCAAGATATGAGGGACTGGACTGTGGCAACTGTCATGGCTCAATGCTATGGAACCCTGGGATGTGTAGTTTGTTGTGGCACTAGAGCTCTCTGATAAAAAAAGGCTAAATACCTTACAAAACTACAAATCCCGTGATTCCATAGTGTTAAGCCATGGCAGGTAAAGCAGTGTCAAGTTGCACTATTTCTGCAGTGGAGATGAGACCAAAGCCTATAGTACCTGGGATTCTTTTTCAGTCTCCCATCCAAGTACTAACCAGGGCTGACCCCGCTTAGCTTCCAAGATCAGATGGTATCTGGTGCCCCAATTTTCCAGATTTCTTCTCTGAGCTCTGGTTCTTTCTTCTCAATGAGAGAGAGGGTGAAAGAAGCCTACTCTGAGCGTGTGGCATGTAGTCCCTGACTTCACTGCTCTTCCTCCTTGTGCCTTTCAGGGTGAATTCTTCCCGGTTAGGAAACGCTTTGTGAGGTCTCTCCTCCCAGTGCCTTTCCATCTGCCCAGCCAGTCCGACTCCATGCTCCTCCTGGCCATCTCAGATTTCGTCCTCAACTCGGCTGCTTCGGTGTATTTCAAGGCTGGAGTGCTATGGGTGAACATCACGGATAATATGGTAAGGCTGCATGGATAAGAGCAGCAGAAATATCTTAAGGCTGGATGCTGGATCGGTCCAAAGGCTCCTCTCTCTAGTCCTATCTCCCACAGTGGCCATTTGAATGGGAAGGTATGAGAGCAACCACATGGTCCCATGGTCAACAGTGCGATGCAGCAGCAAAAAAGGCCAATGCAATGTTAGGCT